GTACTTAGTCTCTATTGGACTCCATGCAATGAGCCGCACGGCTATTGGACTCCATGCAATGAGCCGCACGGATGCAGGCTGAGAAGTCTGCATTTTCTGATCAGAGGATGTCTTTTGGTCACATTTTCCAGGGATTTCTAAGTCTCGAGTTTTGCTGATCTTCTGCGTGTCCGTGAGTCTGTCTGATGAATGCGGAGTCCAAGTCTGTGTTCGTGCGGTATTTCTGCAACTCGTGAAAGGTACGAATTAGTAAAAACCTACTAACAAGGTGTAGCTGGAGGGACTGGACTGAAATTTGGTAGCCAACGGACTTGTGGGCGAATGTAGGACGGACAGGCGGGGCGGGGGTAAATTTAGGAGTTGATACAGTCCGATCGGCCAGGGTAATGATGGAGGCCGATGCGATTCACACGGACACTGTAGTCTCCTGGCACGAATGCTGCTGCTCTGCCATGTAGTAGAGGTTGGCAGAGGAGGAGCTTGAGGGTGATGAAGAAGACCTCCATGGCCAGTAAGGAGTGAGGAGGAAGAAGTGGGGAGTAGTCTGGCTATGGCGGAATGGAGTACAGCCCAAGTTGGGCTATGGATGCAAAGTAGGACACCTCTGAAGCACAAAAGGACGAATAACGAGGGAACTGGCGTAGGGGGCACTCACCTTTGGGTATAGTGGACAATCATCTCCTTGTCCTTTGTTGGGGCTGCACCCAAAAAGGCCCTATTGGGAGACCAGTTGGACCCGGGCTTCATCCATGAGTGAGGCGTAGCGGCTGAGGGTGGGGAGAGAGAGAGAGAGAGAGAGAGAGAGAGAGAGAGAGAGAGAGTTAATGCGTTGCCCTATCTCCATCCTGGCTGAAGAGTTGGGGTGATTCGCCATATCCAGAAGTGGGCTAGGAGTAGCGAGAGAGAATTTGGAGCCAAAGGAGAGTTCTTTCTTCTGGCTGTGAGCGAGGTCTATCTGGTATTGATTCGTTGTGTTTTCATCCCTTATATGATTACTATCATTGTTAATAAGAGGAGTGGGATGATGACGTGGGGAGATGAGGAGGGGGTAACATTGTGTAAACTTGTGTTCTTCTTCTTCTTCTTCTTCTTCCTCTTTCTTCTTTTTTTTCTTTCTTTCTT